TGCCAAGGTGGAGAAACCACTGGTTGCAGAGGGACAAGTTGCAATCCTTGGTGAGGTCATCTCCTTCCTTGGGACTGGTGGATTCTGCCTTCTGTTGGACGCCTTTGGGTGGGTTGAGCAGAGAAAAGGAAGCAGCTTCTAGGAAGGGCTTTAACTTCCTGAAGCGATTTTGCACTGGACTGGATTATACCAGGCCTGCACAGCTCATTGGGGGAAAGGGCCACGCTGCTAAATTAAAAATCCTGGTGGGCCGATCAGCTGTTCTGTGGCTACCGCCGGAGCTGGTGGCTGCAGGAGTCTTGGAGGTGCTTGGCAGCGGGCCTTCCAGGGCAGCAGCTGTAAATTTACGACTTTTTGGAAAATGGCAGGCTGCATGGTGTGCAGGCCTGGATTTCGCTCATTGCTATCAAAGAGATAGGAGCCCGCCCAGAGCCTCTTAGAGGAGGCTGTGCGGGGTCCCTGAGCCAGCTGGGGAGCCAAATAACCTGCCTCAGGACAGGAAGCTGGGCCTTCCAGCGGATGGCCCTCCGATGTGGCTCTCCCTTGCATGAAATGCAGGGGGTCGGGGGTGGGTCGGAATTGGTATAATGCCTGGGTCAGTTTGGGACACCAGGGTGGGCGCTGGTGGGGGGCGTTCTCCCGTTTTCCTCCCTGCGGAGGGTTGAGAGCCCCCCTCCTGCCTCCCTCCCCAGGAGAGGTTCTTCTCCAGCCGCTGCTGCGCTCACCCTCTCCCACTCAGCTCCTCTAAGGACGGCGTTCTTTCCCCCAGGGAAGCGAGAGGCTATGATGGAGCATCTTCTGTACCAGAAGCACAGGTAAGGATCAGGACCTTCTCCCTCCCACTAGGCAGCCAGAAACCTGTGGGCCTCTCAGGGCCAAAGGACGGGCCTCTTTCCTCCCCAGCACTCCGACTGGCCTGGACTTTCCTAAAGCCGCCTGCCCCCCGCGGGTCCGGAGCCGTGACCCAGACCAGGGCCCTGGGGTTATTGTAGGCCACGGAGCGGCAGAGAGTGGGAGGACTTCTGTAGTAGCAGATTAGAGTGTCGCCCTTCTGTGTCAGATGGCTGGGTGACGCTTCAAATACTAACATGGAAGCCCTTCCCCATTACGTCAGGGGCCTTCTCTGGCTCCCCACAGCCTAGGCAGCTAGTCACATCAGCTAGCGAGGATCTCGAGTCACGGTCGCCTTGCTTTAGCTGCCTAAAGGAATGCTCTGGGGGGATCGGGCACAGTGGGCTTCCTCAGCCTGCTTAGCAGAGCCTTCCCAAGGGCTCCTCGTTGCCCAGGGAGGAGAGGGCAAGGGCTGGCATGAACTGGTGGGGTCCTTGAAGGGCCTTTTGCCTGGGAGTCTTGCCAGAGGCCTGGCGGGAGGCCACCTTGCATAACCCTTGAAGCTGAAAAGGGGATGAGGGGAAACAGGGCAGGCCAAGGGAGGAACGACTATTGCGGTCCTTCCCAAGCGGGATGTTGCAGAAATAATTAAATGGGCGAGTGAAGGATGGTGGGGCAGGGGGCGGCAGCAGCACAGGCAACCAGCAACGGGCGTGTGGATTTCTGCAAGCGGAAGAAAGGCCAGCAGAGATGCTGGGGAAGGGGAGGCAGGCCGTTCCCACAAAGCACCGTCTCCTCCCGCTTGACGGGGGGGGGGGTCCCTGGGCTGAAAGAAATCCAGATGGGCGATGGCAGCAGCAGCCCTTAGCCAGCACGCCTGCGAGGACACACGTTGGGGCCCGTGGCAGCCCCAGGAAGGCATCTATATCCCAGCTGCAGAGCGGTTTGGAGAGAGGGCTCCGCCAAGGAGCGCGGATCAGTCTTCTGGCACAACCCACTCCCCCCTTATTTGTACAAAGAGCACTAACGCCCGCACTCCAGCT